TCCACAATTATCTAAAGTTACATCAGCAAAATTTTGAGATCTGTAATACTTCATTAATTTCATCATGACTGATAGTGATGTTTTAAAACTATTTTCAGCTGTGATATGAGTTGTTTCTTTCTGACTTGAACAGATTTTGATTAATTTGTGCAGGCACTCAGCATGTGTGATGCAGGGGAGCATCTTTGTGTTTGGCGGATGGGACACTCCTGTCTGCTTCAATGACATGTTCATGCTAGATCTCGGTAAATACTGCAAGAATTGTTACTCTTTTCAAGACTTATTATTTAATTTGGATTCTCACTGTCTTATTGGGGAGAAATAAGGAATAACTAAATGTGTAAAGTCACTGGAAGGCAGTAGTCTGGGTAACCAAATATTTTCTGACATTGACTGAATTGTTTTATCATTGATGGGAAAATCCTGAATCCGTCATTGTGACAGATTACACTGTTGGTGATCTACTGTAACTTGTGACTGTAATTCCCACCCGTCATGTTGTTGGCAAGCATGCCTATTAATTAACGATTGGTCTTGTATACTATCAACATACAATTGCAAAAATATCATAGCAGTTGATAAAGTTTCCTTGGACGGCTATTATCTTGTTGTTAAAAGAGGTGAAAAAAGAAGGACTGATGTGGATGCAGTGGCGAAAGTCAGTACAATACCGGCACAGGCGAGGAGGACACAGTTAAAGTCCATGCAGACCAGGTGGAAGGGTTGAGTTCAGGCTGGTGGAGAAAGTCTATTGAGTTTAGTAGTTCAGTTAATTTGTGTTTAGCGTAATTGTACTATTTTGTAATATTGCGTTAATATTTGCCTGTTCAGGCACAAAGGTTCTGTTTCAGTGACCTCCGCTGTCACTGCGGAAAAACAAACATTCATCTGCTTTGTGTGGTGTTGAAGATGAAAAGTAAAGTACAGTCTCTGTTCTCTTTAAATAATAAATAAATGCATAATCTAGCTAGCCTATATCCTTGTCCTGTACATCCGTGATTAAAAATTTAAATGTGAATGAAAACAACAGCTATTAAATAGCTTTTTATCATTAAAAAATTAAAATTAAAATGATGGGTACTAATAGATAATGGCTGAAATTTTAGACCTTGTCTGTCAAAATGTCGGACAATGAGAGTTTTAACACCACCACTGCTGGAAGATGTTTTGCCACTCATAGGTTTAATTTCAGTACTGTTACTTGAGGACAAAAAATCTACTAGACATTTTTTCCATGGTAGAGGAGTGTCATATATCCATTGTATACTTCCATTCTTTATTCATATCTGTGTAGATTCTCTGCATATTTAATACCTGGTATAATACTGTTTTACACATTAATTACGAAAGCACTCTTTAAAAAGTGGAGTAGTCAACTTAAAATAGCATATTGTCGCATCCTATTTCAGGCTTGATGGAGTTTTCTGCTGTGAAGACAAGTGGGACAGCCCCCTCTCCCAGAAGGTAGTAAATTGTATTACAAAAGATTTATGTTAGCAATAGCAAGCAAAATTTATAACAAATTTTCAGTTCTCATATCAAACTTTATGTAACCTATATCTGTTCCATACTGTATCACAGCTGGCATGGCTGTGCGGTTCTTTCAGACTGCAACTTCCTGGTCCATGGTGGATACAATGGGAACAATGCACTGAGTGACGCATTCATCTTCAACACAGGTGAGACTTGTGTTGGGTTTTTTGCTCCAATTCCACTTCCAGGCCTCTATCATGGTTGCTACTATGGTATATATGCTAATACTGTTTAACATTTTTGGGTTGATGATATTCTCTAGAAGTCTTTTTTGCTCAACAAGGCTGTATTACAAAAAAATTAATTAAAAAAAAAACAAGGCTGTATTTATTTGATCGAAAATACAGTAAAAACAGTATTACTATGACATTTTATTACAACTTAATTAAATGTTTTTGTTTGTTTCTATACAAGGGTTTGACATAAACTGAAACCTCACCTGGTTTTAGACCACAATAATTTATTAGTATGGTGTGGGGCCTCCTTTTGCTGCCAATACAGCATAATTCCGTCTTGGGAATGGCAGATCCAAGTCCTTCACAGTGGCCAAAGGGATTTTGAGCCATTCCTCCACCAGCAACACAGTGACCTGGTCACTCTTCTGGAAGAGGAAAAAGTTTTCTGGCTTGCTCCTTCAAAATACCCCAAAAGTGCCTCAAAAATATTTAGATCTGGTGACTGTGGAGAGACCATGGGAGATGTTCAATTTCACTTTTATGTTCATCAAACCATTCTGTCACAAGTCTTGCTGTGTTTGTTTATTGGTACATGCTGCTGATATGACACCCCCTTCAGGGTACTATGTTTGAAACATTAGGTACACATGGTTCTCCAGAAGGGTTCAGTAGTCCTTGGCAGTTAAGTGCCCATCAAGCACAGTAGGGAATACCATGATATTACAGCCCAAACCATAACTGATCCACCCCTGTGCTTCACTCCGGGTGTTAAAGGGATACTCCACCGTTTTTTCATATGAAACTGTTATTCCCTTAAAGAGTTAGTTCACCCAAAAATGAAAATTATGTCATTATTATTGACTCACCCTCATGCCGTTCCAAGCCCGAAAGACCTCCATTCATCTTCGGAATACAGTTTAAGATATTTTAGATTTAGTCCGAGAGCTTTCTGATTACTGTGCAGTCGAAGTGTTCCCATGCACTTGCTGTGGTATTCCGCCATACAATATAGTTATCCATTTTACTCGCTTAGAAAAGTGCAGCGTTTTATTTTGTGTCGCCATTCTTGGTCGAGTTACACTACTCGAGTAACTGTATTTAAATGGGGAAACCGTGGAGGTGATTGGTCACTTCTCTGCTTGCATCCTATTAAATGTACTGGGCTGAGCTAAGTGCTAACAAAGTTTCGCAGCAAGATAGAGCGATTTAGTGCACGCACTGAGACGAGAGAGGTATGTATCAACTCGTCTTAGTTAAGGGAATAACATAGTTTAATGTGAAAAAACGTTGGAGTATCCCTTTAAGCCTTTTTGGGCCTTCTCTACACTGTAACTCCAATGGATGTGTGAAAGACAGTGAAGGAGTACTCATTAGAGAACAATTGGCACTGTTGGCAAAATCGAACCCGATCCGAATTTGTTTAAATGATATATGGAAAAAAGTTTTGGAGGGAGTGTGTAAACGTGATTTGGCACTACATGAGGTCATATTTATTTTTACGGACTCTGTGTGCAAGGACCTTTTACTCTTGTTGGATGTGGTTTGTCATACGTGGTGGTATGTCAACATTTCCCCATGGATACAATAGCTCTCAGTACACCACAAAGGCTTGCTGTCCTGGTCACAGATTTGCCAGCGAGAAGTGGGACCTCTTGAACTGATATGAACTCCCATTACTGTATGTTTTGTGGAATTGCAATATTTTATGTGCAGCTGTGCTATTGCTCTGCTAATTCAACCTTCACACTCTGCTCTTACATGATGGAATGTAAAATCAGTGAAAAATTAGCCATCAGGCCATGGATATATACCGGTAGGCAGGAAACCTTCAGCACTGTATTGGCCAGCGTTTCAGTTTCATTGTCCATGCCTGCCTGTAATGCCGAAGCTGAATTTTCAGCATAATTACTCCACTATTCAGTGTCGGGTGATCTTTCAGAAATCATTCTTGTATGCTGATTTGGTGCTCAAGAGACATGAATTATAATTTTCAATGTTAAACTCTTGTGCTGCTATATTTTTTCAGGACTAATGAATATAACGTTCAAAAGAACAGCATTTTATTTGCAAAAAAAATCCTTTATAACATTTTAATTTTTGTAAATCGCTTTCTTTAAATTCTATTGACCCCAAAATTTTGATTTGTAATGTATGTTGTTACATCCCATAAATGCTGTTGTTCGATTTTAAAAGTTGTATTTAACCTGGAATATTCCTTTCAAAGCAACTAGCTTTTACTATTATTTTTAAACGCTTTTTTTATTTTTTATTCCAGACACTAGTTGCTGGTCGTCTCTGTTTCTATCCCAGCTCAATTCTTTCCCCCGAGCTGGACATTCCATCATTACCATGCCCACTACATGCAGAAAGGTAAAAAAACTCATTATGGACACCTTTATAAAGTAGTTTCGTTCATTATTATGGTTATTGATTTTGACTGCTCAGACCTTTAATAGTAGTGTCTTTGCCTGTACAGGGATCTATAGATGAAGAGGAGGACCTTCCAGAAGCATCCCCACAAACGTTGTTGGTTTTTGGTGGAGGTGACAATGAAGGGAGCTTCTTCTCCGACCTTTTCACTATGCCAGTAGAAGAGCTAAGAAGAGACTAAACACTTGCATCACAATTTGGTTTTACATGCTTTTTTATGCTGTGCTTTTTCAGATTTTGTTCTTTGTGGTTTGATTGTGGCTTATTTAAAGAGGTGTATTACACTTTCACTCAGGTATTTGCATTATATCATCCTTTATTAAGTTTATGCCCAGACCATGGGAAGTCAGTCTATATTAATGTTATGATTTGTGACACAAGCCCATTATTATTATTATTCTAGATCAGTAAGCGTGGGCTGTTTTCTTCAAACATCATTAGATATAGACTTGTTTTCTTGTTTATTCCATTAAGGGATTCAGGTTTGATCAACGAAAAGCTTTTTTGGTGTTTTGTATATACATGCTTTTAGAAAAAGCTTTTTTTATGTCTTTGTAAAATTATGATTTTGCTGTAAATACTGTCGCAGCAAACCTGTTCAAAATTAAACGTTCTTTAAAAATACAAACGCCTCTTTTCTTCAGTTATTCGAACACTTTGATTCAATCACACAGCAGGTCAGTCACACAGTCACAGATACTGTATTTCCTGTGTCCAGGCATCTGCTAAATTTCAAAATCTCCACGGAAACAACGGCCGCATGATGTCACCACACGTCTACAGTCGTCGTTATGACCGCGAATACCGCAGTATGCGAGCACCGACTGCTACTAATGCCTAGAGAGGATCCGTGCACGGATCCGCCGACGCCCCTCCCCGTTCAGCCCCCCTCCACTCGCTCCGGAGATCGGCCATGTTGCCTCTCGCGCTTGTTCCGGTATCAGGCACGAGCGTTTGAACAGCTCGGCCGCAGTACGACACCGATCCGCCTCCAGTGAAGCCCATTTCTCCACAGCCCCGAAGCAATCATGGATTTTACTACCTGACTGGATGTTTCTCTTTGGATACGAGCCCTCAGACGACTCCTTTCATTCAAGAGCCTTTGGTCACCGGGATTCCGTGAGTGGCGGAAAACGGTTTCGTGGATCATGAGGGTTTTTCGGGATTTTTAAATCCATTTTACGTCTCCTTCATTCTCAGCACTCACGATTGATTTTCTCTAACGTTATATCCGCATTCAGTCCAGCGCCGTTTGTTTCGTTATCTCAAACTGACGGTTGAGGTATTTTTTCACCTTTTGTTGATACTAATTGTTTTGAAGGTCGGTAAAATTGTGATTTTTGGTTGGCCTAACAATTCATATCGCTCGCAGAGAGATACTTTTCCTTTTCGTGTCCTCGTTCTCTGTCATTTTTAAGACCTGGGAGGAAATGAATTGTTTTAAACTCTCGCTTATTTCTTTGGTAAACAAATATAACTGTAAGTCAGCTGCATGTTAGTCTCTCCAAGAAGACCTTCATAAATAATCATCAAGGACCTGCTGTTTATTTTTCAACTGGAAACTTAAATACAAGTTTTTTTTTTCTCCACATATGGACTGATGTTGGGCTTCAACTTGTTGATCTCTGTCTGCGTGGCTAGTTCAAGCTAGCTAGCAACACTTATTACTTCTGTCAGAACAGACGAATAGCCTGTAAAGGCAAGCTTATAAATGCTTGTCAACCACTGAAAACGTTTTTATATTTATTTTCCTCCCCGTGGCCTTGATTTTGAGAATACCTGGGCGAAAATGACAACCCGAGGAGGAGTTGGTGTTATAGAAAATTCATCCAGCCAGGTGAGACATATCTTCACTGACTGCACAGAAACTAATATGTATGAATGTGTGTTGGTGTTTTTATTTTTGTGAATTACGTCATTCTTGATTTTCTTTTTAATTGTATTTCCTTCAAGCTCGTCGAGCTGAAAGGCAGGTGTCTGTAGCTATATAAGTTAGTTGTCGGGAAGAGTTTCCCTGACTCAACATGACTTCCCTTATCTGTTCATTGATAGGCTTGTCAAGGGTAACTTTCATGTTCCTCGCAGTAGATGTTGTAAATCTGTTGTATGAACCCTTGTGCATCAATTAAAAGAAGTTACACATAGGTCCATACTGGACAATAATGTCCATGCCAAAAAAAAAAAACTTAAAAAGTTGAAGCTCAGGAGACACAGACTTAAATTTTGTCTCATTTTAAAGACCATTGGCAGATTATTGCTAAATAATTTAGTTTTTTTTTTTAAGTTAAGTCAAAAAAGTTATATAGGTTTAAGTTTATGAAAAATGATTTATACATTTTATATAAAATGTATATTTTATGAAACCTGTGGTACTCTAAAACGGTTAGAAAATCAAAGCCATAAATCTAAACAAGTTGTGTTCCAAATTTGAGGTTGATATCTCAAAAAATGAGCTTTCAGTATGATTTTGGTTGGGCGCAGTACCACATTTTCCCCATTGGAAACCAGCAAAACTCAACTGGTCACACAGGGGTTTTATTTGTTATTTGCAGTAGTTTTTCTCAGATATATGACCCTGTCCCACAAAACCAAGTAGCACCTCATTGAAGTACACAAGATCCAGGGGATGGAGTGGATCCAGATCTAAGGGGTGGAGATGGATAGGATTAGGGGTGGGAATGCGTAGGATTAGGGGTGGGGTTAGGGATTAGGAGGCAGAGATGGATAGGTTTAGGTATATGGAAGGTGGGAGGAGTTAGATCTAGGTCCAACTCCTCCCCCTGGATTTTGTGTTCTGCTGTGAGGATCATCTCACAAAACCAGTCACATGGGTACATTTTTTGAAATGGAGATTTATACATCAAATGAAAGCTGAATAAATAAGCAGTCTATTGATGTATGGTTTGTTAGGATAGGAGAATACTTCAAAATACTTAGGAGAATAGGAGAATACTTCTAAATACACTTATTTTAAAATCTGCGAGTGAAAAAATCGAAACATTGAGAAAATCACCTTTAAAGTTGTCCATTTATGTTCGCGATTGTGCTGCATTCATTAAAAAAAAAAAATTTATATAAATAATATAAATATTATATTAAATATATATAATTTATATAAATATTTAAAATATTTTCATGGAAAGTGATCTTCACTTAATATCCTAATTATTTTTGGCCTAAAAGAAAAATCGTCATTTTGATTTATACAATGTTTTGTTGGCTATTGCCACAAATATACACATGCTACTTGTGACTGGTTTTGTGATCCAGGGTCACATATTACAACACACAGACTCACACATACACATTTTTTTTATTACACACATAGAAACCACTCTGACATCCATACCAACACACTCACACAATTATTGCTGCATAATTTATCCAATTGGCTCTATAATATGCCAAAGCAGAAAACAGGAATAAAACGAGTTTTTGCTTTATAGGCCAAACCTGAAAAAATGGCACCATCTGGTAAAAAAAATTGTAAAAATTTCAATATTGAAGCCTTGCCAACAGAATGAAAGTCTCTTAACAAAGATTACATCCTTTTATAGTTAAATGGCCCTGGGATTATTAAACATTTTGCATTTTTAATGGATTTCAATGCAGACATTTTTGTCCAAAAGGTGCTGAGAGGAACTATTTTGTGTACCTTGTGCAAAAAATATTTTTTTTAAAGAAATGGGGGTGAAATAGTAAAATTTCAATAAAAATACACACTCGAGACAAATTTTATGCACTTAGCATAAACACAGGCAGAGTTATTAAAAAAAACTAAACGGAAAAAGACAAAAATGTCCATATGCACAAGGCTTAATACTCATTTAATAATCATTTTGTTCTTAATATCTTAATATCTAATATCTTAATAATCATTTTGTTCAATGGATAAACTGAAAATCCCATATCAGTAAAATTTAGTCTGTAAATACAATGAAGTTAGATGAGTCTAGACCTGATCACAGTGGTTTTCAACCAGGGGACCGGGGCCCTCAGGAAATTTCCAAGTGGGCCTCAAGAATCAAGATATTTAAAATGTTTTAAAATAAGCTAAAACTACTAAAAACATTTCTAATTTATTTTCAATCACACACAAGCTTCTGAAATTCAGCTATTTTATTATTTTAAGTTGATTTATATCTAAGTATACCCCTATTTTCTGTAAATAAATAAAAAAAGCAGGGCAGAGACTTCAAATGTTGTTGTGGAAAGTTAAAAAGTTTTAGAACCACTGGTCTTATGAGAAAATCAGTCACCAGGTAGTGCATTTGACATGCAACCAGGAAGACACTGGCAGTAAGAATAGCCAGCCTTGTCCCTCTCAATGTGATAAGGCACAGATTGCGGTGCGAGTGCCAGAGGATGGAAAATTGAGCCATTCAGAGTGAGGAGGAGGATGACAGATTCGGTGCTCATTAATAACTCATGCCAGTGTGACTAATGCTGACTGAGCTACATACAATACAGGCAGCGCTAACGTGTGTGTTTTCCGCTAAGTGGCTTAATGAAAAACGAAGGACTTTATATCCTTGTCCAGCTCTCTGGATGGCCTCTCTGAGATCTCTAACCTCTTCTTCAGAGTGTGTCTGTTTTAGCAGAGGAAGAGTGTGAGGAATGAATCACTGGTGTTAATCATACTAGTGAGGTTGTGGGTGAGTTTCAGCCTGCTATGTAGGAGGAGAGGTATGAAAATGTGTTATTATTTTGCATTATCTGGTTTGTTCAGGCACAGGGAAAAGGATGCTTTGCATAAAAAAATCAGACTTGGAACAGTGTGTTTATGTTTATGACTTGGACTAAGTTTTGCATCTTTGGGAATTGTGTCTGTCATTCACTCACTGCGCTGTTTCTTTATTGACTTTTTAATTGCGATGTTTATTTTAATACGCATGGGTCACACAAACATGGGCTTTTTTCAATAGGGGTTTCACCGGCGACCTTGGTGTTCAGCCTGAATTGAGGACCATTTGGCCTGTGACTCTGTTCTCCAGCATTGTGGCATCCATGTCTGAAAAGTACACCACCCCAATAAGTGTTAACACAGGGTTTCCTTGTCCTCAGTAACTCAGTGTGTCACCTTGCTGATACTGTGACCTGACACCACAGGCTTGTGTTACAGTTCCCTGAAATCGCAGACCCCAAACACAGATTTAGATTGAGAGAAAGGGCCTTCACCTGTTTCTCATCCTCTAACCTCTGCGTTCTGATGTTTAAGCTAAATCATGTGGTTTGATCTCAGTGTCCATTGACTCAACATTTAATCAAACCTGACCTTATTTGCTTCATTAATACACACGTTTTGGTCATACTGTGCACAATTAATGAGTGCATGTTATTCCAAAGGCAAAATTTTTGTTACAATTTTCACCTGACGTCACCTGGGCTGTGGGTTGGGCAGGTTAAAGTTCACCCAAAAATGAAAATTCTGTGAGTATTTACTCACCCTCATGTTGTTCCAACCCTGTAAGACCTTCGTTCATCTTCGGAACACAAATTAAGATATTTTCGATTAAATCTGAGAGCTGGATCACTCCTCAATACTAGTCCTATTAGTGTTTTATACACTCTAAAAAATGCTGGGTTGTTTGTTTTAACCCAATTTTGGGTAAAATATGGACAAACCCAGCCATTGGGTTAAAAATGTAATTTAAAAATGTAACCCAATGGCTGAGTTTGTCCATATTTTACCCAAAATTGGGTTAAAACAACCCAGCATTTTTTAGAGTGTAGTATTTATTTACGAAGTTTTTTAGTATTTAAAGATTTTTTTTAGAAATTCAATTACACTGATATTATGTGTTAAAAGTACCATAGTGTTTTCTTTTTTTTACTAATAATAATTCTAATAAGATGCCATGATATACTATTATTTACTATGCTATAGGCTACGTTATATACTATTTAATTAGCAGTTCTGTCTAAAGATGTATAAGAACTGTTAAACGAAGTAAACTAATGATAACATAGAATTGGATACTAGTTGGCAATGGCAACAGATAATGATTGCACATTTTTGACTGCAAGATTAAAGAAATACATCAAGATGCTCATGGGGGTGAAGACCTTTGTTTTCCATACCCCATTCGAAAGGCCTTAAAAGATTTTGACTGGCATTATTTCAGGAGTTGTCCACTATCTTTTGCAAATTCTTGTCTGGTCTGACTTAATTCTGGTTTGGAACACCAATATGCAGTGGCACTTGGAAATATACCACATTGCTAATGATGTTTTATGTTGATTTTGAAGTGTTTTGGTAGCTTTTGGCCATTATAATCATCTGTGTATTGAAAACTATGGGGTGTCACTATGAGGTTTTATGGCCAAGCTTTTCTAAATAGTCTATTGTCTCTGTCGAAAATCATTATTTTTGGGATAGTTGGGATAGTTATCTTACTGTCAGTATTTGTCCTCATCGCTGTACATTTTGTGTCTTTAATGTCTGTCCACCTGCGTGGTTACAGATCGCATCTTGAAGTCCTTAAAACGTGTTCTATGCTGTTCAGTCTGGTGTGGTATTTAGACATCCTCCATATACTACCACAGATCTCTGTTGGGTCCGCTGACCTTGATCAGACTCAAAGACTCACAGTTTTCCACTGCAGTGATTTACACTATTAGCACTTCTTGCTTCACTAAGCATATCATTTCATTTTTTTGAAAAATGGCAGCAGTTTGTTATGAATGTGAAAGTAGTAATCCTGATATTATCCAGTCAGTCAAAGCTGATCTGCAAGCGCTAGATCGCATTGCAGGTATATAATCTTTTGAGATGCTTAGATATAAACAATCCATCGTCACGCCATCAATAAGGATCTGCGACTGATTATAGTAATT